TCTGCTAATCCCTTACCAGGCTCGGCTGCATGTCCCTTCTTCCCTTGACCCATCATCCCAGCTGTGTTATCTTCAGATCCACCGGATCCATGACGTAATCATCATGGTCACCCTATTATGGGTACACTCATCCGGATCCAGGTCGCTTGGATCCACCTCACTGTAATTGTACACTCGCCGTGGATCCGAGCTCTCCAATCATCCAACATCATCTTGCAACCGTCTGTGATCTCCATTGTCCCACGAAAGTTCCAGATCCACTGCATCCCTCATCCCTATACCCTGGATCCAGGTCCCTCTATGCGGGATCCTCACCTCCTGGGATCCGAACTCGGAAGTATGGGATCCGGGACACCTCGCGGTGGATCTTGACTTCTCGTTAGTCGTGGATACTAGATTCACCTTCAGATAACACCTACCATCATTCCTTCATAGGATCCACACTCGATCCACTGGTACATAGTATATCCCATATCCACCTAAGTGAATCCAGGTAAGGGTGGATCCGAGATAAGTCTTGGTGGATCTTGCCTTCCCGTACATCGCTCATACCAGATCCATCGTCGTCTCATACGGGGTGCTGCTCGTCATGGCTAATCCACCTCAGGCAACTTGCATCCGCGCCGGGCGATTCGAATCCTCTCTAATCACTTGAAATTGTCACTGATTCGGGATAGTGACCCCGCGTCAGGCCCATTCTCTTATTTCTGAGAAAGCACTTCACCACATATACGGCCACGAGGAGGACACACCAGCCGACCACGAGTGACTGGAAGCTGGCCAAGAGGGTCGCAAGGTACTTGAAGGGCACGAAGAGCGTCAAGCTGATCATGCAGGCGCCGACGAGGAAGGACGACGTGATGGCTTTGGAGAGCTGGAGCGACGCAGACTTCGCTGCCGACAAGAGCGACAGGAAGTCGGTGACTGGAGGAGTCGTGACGATGGATGGGGCTGTGGTGCAGTGGATCTGCAAGAAGCAGACCGGCGTGTCGCTCTCCACGATGGAGGCCGAGTTCACGTCAGCGTCGCACGTGGGGCGCGAGCTGCTGGGACTTCGAAAACTGGTGCGTGAGCTGGGTTTCCAGGTAGTGGAGCCAGTGCCCATGAGGATGGACAACCAGGCGGTGATTAAGCAGCTAGAATCCGAGGAGAGCATGGCGAGTGCGAAGCACGTGGACATCCGCGTGAAGTTCATCTGTGACTTTGTCAGGAAAGGGATAGTGAAGCCCGAGTACGTGGAGTCACGCCTGATGATGGCGGATCTTCTCACGAAGGCGTTGCCGGCGCCAAGAATCGCGAAACTGCGGGATATCCTCAAACTGAAGTGACGAGTGCTGCCGAGAGCGCGACGACCGAGGAGGAGTGTTGAATTTGGACCGTGCAGCTGGAGCAGCTGCGGCTCACAGCGGTAGAAACGACTGGTTTGGCCGCCGACTATACGGATGCACAGGAAAGGTGGCACGGGTGGCTGCCACAGGAGGATGGTTAACAGAGCAAATATCACCTCTACATTCTCACAGTATAACCCCTGTCTAACAACTACCATGACCAAGGGCTCCGAGCTCGCGCCTGTAGAAAGAGGCCAGATTTGTGGGCTTCGCGAGGCAGGTTGGACATTTACCGCAATCGCTGAGCACATAGGGAGGTCGCCAGCAGGCGTGAGCAAGTTTTGGAGGAACCGAGACACTTATGGAGAGGTCAGGAGGTCGGGAAGGCCCACGAAGGTATGCGAAAGGACCAAACGGCATATCGTTCTCGAGGCAAAGAAGGCTGGAGCGTCATCAAACTCCGTGAGGACGTCATTGGGGCTTACCGTATCAGCACGTACTGTGCGTAGCGTACTTCACCAGACTCCGCACATGAGCTACAGCAAGCGCAACCGCACTCCGATGCTCAAGGCGAGCCACAAGCTGGCCCGACGAAACTGGGCTAGGAGTATGATTAAACTACGGACTGATTGGGACCGTGTTGTATTCTCTGATGAGAAGAAGTTCAATCTCGATGGTCCAGACGGCCTGCAGTACTACTGGCATGACCTACGCTGCGAGAAGGAGACCTACTTCAGTCGTCAAAACGGTGGGGGCTCTGTCATGATCTGAGGAGGTTTTTCCTCTCGAGGAAAAACCGATTTGGCTTTCCTTATAGGCCGCCAAAACTCATTTCACTACCAGGAAACGCTAGCTAACTACTTGATACCGTTTGGAGAAGCGTTTTATGACGGGGACTACATCTTTCAGCCCGACAATGCAAGCATACACGCATCCAAAAGCACGAAAGCCTTCCTTGAGAGCTCCGAAATTGAGATAATGGACTGTCCGGCGCTATCCCCAGACCTCAATCCGATAGAGAACGTCTGGGGCTACCTTGCGCGAGACGTTTACAGTGGTGGCAAGCAAAGTACATGACGTTGAATGAGCTCAAAGATGCCATCCTGAAGGCATGGCCGAACTTGGACATGTCACAACTTCAAAATTTAGTAAAATCAATACCTGATCGCGTTGGAGATGTCATCGAAGACAAAGGTAGGAAAACAAAGCACTAAATAGCTACTCTCCGCTAATACAATCTCCCTGAAGTTCACGCTGCTACGTATATTTTGTCCAGGGTCAGAGTGATGGTCACTTCTGGAACTCCGCAGAAAAAATGGTATGCCTCGGTACAGTGTTGGCAAAGTCCTTGGGATTTGGACGGACGGATTAAGTCCGTCCAGACCGATTGGCCGAAGCCTGTGGCGGAAGGACTTTACTGATTACATCTTAAATGTAGCATTTTACTTAAATAACAACGAATTGGATAAATCAGCTCAGCTTTAGCCGATAGAGACCCGAGCAGCAGCCGACAGAAGGGCAAGCAGCCAAGCCGGAGCAGCAACTCGTACACAGTCACGTCCGACAGAAGGCCAAGCAGCAGCAGCAGCTCGTACTCCGCCACGCCCGACACAAGGTCATGCAGCGGCAGAGCTAGCGCTCATCCACGACCTACCGAGACCGGAGTAGTAGCATCTCGTACACAGTCACGTCCGACAGAAGGCCAAGCAGCAACAGCAGCAGCTAGCCCCATCCGACGGAGACCAGAGCAACGCTGCGGCTTACGCAGGATATCTACCAGGATCCTTTTCGTTTACCTATCAGGCGCAGCAGCATAGCATCAGGCATGCTGGCGGCAACAGCGTGGTTAACACCGACGTCGACATCAGGTACGCAGTCGACGGAATCTAGAGGCCAGCACCGACGTGAAAGTCTGACCGAGAGCAGTAGCAATACCAATTGGAAGAATTCAGACTGTACATTACGGAGGATTATTACGCTTGAAGGCCAAGCTGGATATTACTTTGAGTACCTGGTACTATGGTAATTTCAAACAAATAGCTCCGTAAGTGTTGATTTCCGACCACGAAATCCCTGGAGTATTAGCGCTTCTTGTGGGAAGTTTCGGTCATTATGGACAGTAAATTCGTGCTTGATCGGGGAAGGGATATTTTCCAGTTCATTCTCGTCCTCCGAATCATCTTCACGTTGTTCTCTTAACATTCTCAGCTCAGGACCAGCTTCGTTTTCTGTGTAGCCCGCATCAATTTCTTCATCCTCAAACACCTCGTCGAGAAACTCCCCCCACATCGTCAAAGTAGCTGTTCCATCAGCACCGTCACCCGGATCGTCATCGTCACTGTCATGGTCTGCATTCGATGACCCCTGTTGATGGGGTGAAGGTTCAAACAGGTTAGATCTGCTCGTAGCATCCATTATAATTTCTCTCTCAATGGGAGAAATAAGAAGCTTTTTCCTTGGATCCCCGGAATCAATCTTTTTAGACCGATTGCGAACATGCTTGGCAATGATGTGATAATCGAGGACTTTAGTTGGAGCCATACGATTGCGCTTTGCAGTGTGAATTACGCCAAGCTCACTAAAAAGACGCTCGCATGTGGCAGTATTTACTGCAATAGAGAGAACCCTCATGGCGAGTGTTGGAAGCTGGCTCTTGGGACGTTCCGTCGCAACGCACTCCCAGTACTCCCATGGTACATTGGGAAACTCGCTAGGCTTCGTTCGGGTAAAGCGACCTTTCATCCAGGCCAGCATATCACGTCGTATCTCGCAAATATCCTCAGTAGCAAACAGTCGCCGGAAATAGTAAACAGCAATCTTGCACAACGTGCCGGTTCCCGATACAGCGGTCTCAGGTAACTCTCGGGCGATCTCGGCGTACACTGGATGTAGTGCAAAGCCAAGCATAAACAGGGGCTGCTCACACTGCGCCCAACGATGCTCAACGCACTCAACTAGTTTGTTACGACGGACAAGATGTTGCTGGAAACCCTCATAAATTTCCCGAAATGATTGCACGACATCTCCCAGGGTATTCTCATCTCGCTGAAGACGAAACGATGCGTAAGATATTGGCGCGATAACGGCTTCTGCTTCTTTTAGCTCTTCCCAAAATAGAGACTCACCAAAAACACGCAGCTGACTTGGAAAGTCACTATTGGTTTTGTATTGGCGGTACAGCGTTTGCAGAGCTGATTGAACGCGAAGCAAAGATGCCAAGCATCCTTGCATAGAGTTCCACCTTGTTTCGCATAGCGTTCGTAGCCCCAAAGATCTCCCGTAAAACTTTTTCATGATTTTTTGAGCACGTGGTAGCCACTTCGAAGATGACGCGTTCAAAATGTTGACGGCCGTTGCAGCCTTGGATGCAATACCATTAAAATTCGATTTTAGTACTGCTTTTACGAGGTTGTTGACGTCATGCGCAAAACAAAACAAGAAAACAACCTGCGGCCACCGAATGGCCAGAATCCGGCGAGCACGTCCACACTGTCCTGCATTATCCGTCGCCATTGCTCCAACACACCACCCTTCTAGTTGGGCTCGCTCCAGTAATTGCTCAAGTTGTTTGGCAATAGCTATGCCATGATGCTCGTCCCCAGCTGGTAAGAGTGCGTAGGTAAGCAGTATTCCAAAGAGAGAGAGTTGACAGCCCAGTAGGTGTTCCTTGGAGATATTTTGCCAAACATCCGAGAGCAGATTAACCCAACCGTTTGTAGCCTTCACCATTGCCCTCAAAGCTTCCGTGTCCGTCGTGCTGCAACGGCTTGCATGTTCTTTAAGGATGCGACCACTCAACGTTCGTCGAGAAGGAATAACGTCTGAAATGCCAGGACACAGAAGCTCCAGGAACCGCAGAACGGACGCCTGCTCAATAAATCTGTCTGGGAGATGGTTGTCGGCGTGAAGCTCGATGAGATAACACTCAATTTGTCTGATCTCACTCTTTGAAAACCTCCGCTTTTCTTTCTTCGTCTTCTTCACGATTAGGTTGTACGCGTTGACTGCCGGCGAAGGGCGCTTCTCGAGTATCAGTGAGCGGCGAGCATGAGCTGGACGTGCCGTTCGTGAACCAGCATGACGTGAAGGTATGCCAGCGTACTGGGATCTTGTTTGTGAAGCAACTGGTGGAGGAGTAGTTGGTAAAACTTCTGAGGTAGTACCTCCCACCGAGGACACCAGGGTCACTCTTTGTACTACATCTGGTGTTGCCACAACAGTCAGCGACGCCAATGGCTCCACACATAGTTGAGCCGCCTTGTAATATGTGCATTTGGCGAGATGGCTTTGGTAGTTTCGCACTCTACCGATTATCGGCTTTGGCGGGGTAGTGGTCACCTCATTCTGGAACGCAGCCCTGCAAAACTTGCATTCGCGATAGCTATAACCTCCTTTTGCTGTCCCCAATTCAGGAAGCCGTTTAAAATGCTTGCTTTCTTGTCTCTCAGGACGTCCTTCAGCGTCTCCCATACTGAAAAGTGTATGCTCAAGGGTGTAACCTTGTGAACACACAGCTGGTGCTTGGCCCCCCGTTGGTCGTAGCGGCGGACTTGCTACTCCTGCTGCTTAGCCTCTCGTCGGACGTGGCCAATTACGAGTTACTACCGCTCCGGTTTCGTCGGACACGCACTAGCTGTTGCTGCTGCTTGGTCTCCTGCCAGACGTTGCCGCTTACGAGCTGCTGATACTCCGGTTTCGGTCGGTAAGGGACAGGCACTAGCTGCTGCTGCTCAGGCCTCTGTCGACACACACGAGCTGCTGCTGATCCCGTCTCGGTTGGTCGTGGACGGGCACTAGCTGCTGCTGCTCAGATGTCCGTCGGCCGTAGCTGCAGACTTGCTGTATCTTCTCCTTGGTCTTCTGTTGAGCGTGGCCGTTGACGAGCTGCTGCTGCTCCGGCCTTGGTCGGTCGGGGGCGGGCGCTAGCTGCTGCTGCTGAAGTCTCCGTCGGACGCGCACGAGCTGCTACTTCTTGGCCTCCCGTCGCGGGCTTGCTGGCTTGTGGGCAGAATCTAGTCTGGGCAGCCATGGCCCGGCCATGGCCTAAGGGCCGAATCCCCTTGGCAGAACTAGGTTTAGGCCAGTTTTTGGCAGGCCGGTTAAGTCCCTACTGCCAACACTGCTCGGTAGCGTTTTGTCTAAATAGCGTTTCTACGCGGTTTTACGGCAGATAATTGACGCAAATATTTGAGAATAGTGATGCTACATATTTTTGGCCAGCACTGTACAATCAATAATATCGCTCTGCGAATTGATTGCCGACAACATTAAATGTTGACAAATTTTGTCTCTACGGTATGTGGTGGTTTGGTCCATGCGCTGGCTGTTCTCGGACGTGGCACCCGCAAGTAACTGGGTAGATCTGCGTCTATTATCCTTTTCTCCTGCATCTACTGTACCCGCTACTACGATAGAACCTCGTTCGGGGCTTTATACTGCTCGTCATCGCGTGACGCAGGAACTCGTGGCTCTTAAAGTACTGGACCGCCGCCTGCTGCGCCAACGTTCTACGCGTCGTCGTCTGCGTCAAGAAGTGCGAGTGCTGCAACTGGCACGTGATCACCCGAACTTATTGCAGCTACATGAGGTGACGTCGACGGGCGCGCGAGTGGAGTTTGCGTTCGAGTTGGCAAGGGGCGGTGAAGTGTTAGTCAGATTGCATTCCGAGCGGGATGCCAGTCGAGTGATACAGCAAGCTGGACTGGGGCTGCAGTTCCTCCATGAGCGAGGTGTTGTACATGGAGAAGTTCGGCCGGAGCACCTGCTTTTCAGCGACGATGAACCAGACGCGCGTGTGCTTCTCGCGGCTTTTGGACGGGCAGCGCCTTGGCAATCGCTGACGTTGCGCTGCCGACCCAGAACTAGAGGGTTCCTGTGGGACCATGTGTATCACATCCGATTCTTGCCGCCGTTTCTTCTTCGACGCAAGAACAGACTCAAGCAAGAAGATGACCGAAGACGCCTCGTGACAAACTGGAGAGAGGCACAGCAGATCGACGTCTGGGCACTCGGCATCACGCTCTACGTGATGCTGTGTGGCTGCTTCCCGTTTAGCAGTGGCAACGACCAGGAGAACATCGTGGCAGACATCGAACGCCGCGTGCTGCAGGACAAATTGACATTTCCGGGGAGTGGAGCGCTCCTGAGTCGTGCGGCGAGGGATCTACTACGTCGACTTTTAGAGAAGAACCCTGATGCAGCCATGAGTATTGAAGAGGTGACAGCGCATCCGTGGCTTGATGGAGAGGTTGCACCGGCTGTCGGCTGGAGTACCGAGATGTTGGCGCAGCACGATCTGTTCACTACGCAGTATGCAGGAGAAGTGGCTGCTGTCGCGTACAGGTCGCCGCCACCTGTACTGACCCATTCAGCTTTAAGTAGACTGGACATCCAGAATGACGTGGCAAATGCACCTCCGAGTGGGGCTACCACTCTGGCAAGCGTTGATGGGGCCCGTGGCAGTTTTGGTGGAGGTGGAGCTGTGTTGAAACGCGACACTCTCAAGGTGGAAGCGGAAGAAGAAGAAGCGCGTCCATCCTTTATGTCTACACATGGCACTCCGCTTGTGCTAGATGAGGAAGTGCATCTGGAACGCCCCAGTGCTGATTGCTTCATGCGTCTTGCCAGTTTCGAGATGAGGGGTAACAACATGAATACAAACAGCGATGATGAAGACGTCGTGGCCGACCCCGGGACGACTCGTTCCCGGGGCACCGTACCCGCGAACGGGTTCACTGCTGCGGGCAGGCACGTGACTCGCCAAAAGTCTCTAGACAAGATGTGGCAGGTGTTGCTGCGCCAACGTCGCTTCTTCTCGTCCAAATCACTGAGTAGCGGCTCAAGCAACGAAAAATCGTGATCAATATTGAAGATATTGATCACAATTTTTGCCCAGTACATGTGCTTTAAGTAGTATTTTTTGCCAGTTAGTCTAAGTATTGTACTTTGAAGCTTTGCTTTGCGCCGCAGAATGTGGAGCTTCTTGTTTTATAGTCTGGGTCCAAGAGATCGTGCTAAGGCATCCAGGTTAGTCCCAGTAGCCGCTTGCAAGTACGCAAGACGGTTCATGCGCGGCTGAAGCGCGACTAGAGTGGCTTCGTTGCTGATAGGTACCTTTGAAACTCCGTGGTTGACTCTCATCTCAGGCTTCTTCTCTGTCTGCTTCTTTGGCTGCTGCTGGTCCTCGTTCATGACAGCTTGCTTTGCACTCAGGCGAAGAAGCTCGTTGTAGTGAAAGTAGATTGACGCCATCGTCACTTGCCAACTCCAAAGCTCAAGTGAGGGAAAGTGCAGTCGCTTATGACTATTGTTAAGACTTGTTTTTAAATTTCTTTAACGTTTTGAAAAAAAAAAAACACAAGCCACGCAGCTAGTCGAACTGCGTCGATGAGCCAGCGCGAGCTGTTGAGAATCGACGAGGTAATTCTAGCGCTCGTTGGCGCATGGTGGCGATACAGTCGTTAAATTTAGCAAGTGCTTGCTTCTCTGGACTATCCTGGTCAGCTCGCAGCTCGTCGACATGTTGGAAATGCACCGGCAGGTCCATCTCGAGCGCTCGACGCAAGTCATCTATGATGAAATTTCCCTCGCCACCCACAGCACTCAGCACATTGTGAAAGTAGCCTAGATCTGCAACCAACTGTTGAGCTCCCATGTCGGACAGTATCGAGATGGAACAAACCGCGCGCAAGAATGCTGCGAGAGTGCCGCTAGCCACTGCTGCGGTCCACAAGTCCACAAACTCCGTCGCTGTCAGTGCAGGCTCCGTGGTAGCAGGCTTGTCATCCGAGCCAAAAATCCGCTGACACGTCGCGAGCTCAGAGGGTTCCAGGTGCAAGAGCTGACCAACACGAGCCCACTCGCTCTGAATGCACACCTCCTGAGCGCCACGTGAAGCCACAAAGGCGTTTTCGAGACTGCTGCTTTCTGCAAAGGGTTCGAGTTGAGGGAGTAGTGACAGGAGGAGATCGGCAACCATTGTAATGTAGTCTTGTGGCAGCATACTAAAGGTCGGTAGATCCCCCAGAGTGGTATCCGGCACCTTACGCCAATTCTACAAGCAAAGTGAGGAATAATTAGCTCCAGGAACGGGTTGAAAAGAGACTGTGATAAAAAGCCTACCTCGTTGGAGGGCAGCGTCTCTAGTACTCGTGCGATAGGTAAGAACACAGTGTCATATGTGAGAAGCTGCACGTCCTTCGTCCACGAACGCACGGCACGTTGAGCCTCATCCAGCAGCTATGGTAACTCGCATCAACGCAGTTGTCCTTAGATAACGTGAAAAGGTTGACACGACAGCGCCAACCACGTACCGTTGCCGTTGGATACCGAGGCGGAGAAGTATCAAAATCTGATGTTCCAGTTAACTGGTCCAGTAATTCCATCTCGAACTGGTGGAAGTGGGATTGTCGCGTTAGGTCTTCATCGTGAAGCCAAGCCCTTGACACTGCTACCACAAGCTTTGTCGGGTCCACAAGCTCAGCAAGCGCACTTCTTGTATTATCGTGTGTTTTCTTTCGGCGGCTGCGCGGTGACAATGAACCTGATGTCTCGCCAAAAAAATGCGCGAGTTGCTCTCGCATCCGAACGCGAACTTGATCATCAAGCGCACAGAGTTGGCTTTCCAGAGTACCGCACGCCTTGAGTAGAGCTAACGATGCGTGGAACTGACTCCACTCGGGAGAAGCAACTTGCGATCCATTAGAAGCGTCTTGCACTTGGGAAGTAGGTTCAGCTTTGCAGTATCTGCGAATGGCTGGGATGGTAGAGCTCAGAGCCAACGTAAACTGCTGCACAGCCGTGCCGATCGCTTCCACAGCTTCAGGGAACGCAGCACCACCAGAAAACTCGAAGCACTGCTGCAGACTCTCATCCACGAGTGTCCAGACTGCCACCGAAGCTTCCTCAAGACGCTGAGAGAAATCCTCAAGAGATGCAGGATCTGCAGCGTCCCGGTCTTCTTCTTCATAATCATCTCCAGCGAGTTCTGGTGCGTTGGTTGCCACGTTAAACGGAGGCACAAGACGTAGCAAATCATCGGTAAGGGCCTCGCTAGTAAAGCGAGCGTACTCTGAAAAGTACAGACGATACGGCTCGAAGACAACACGTAGAATGCTTTCAGCGCTCGAAGCCGCGTCGTCAGTTTCAGGCAAATTCACGCCAAGGTCACCTTCTAGAGACCTAAAGAACTGCACTAGCTGACCGGCAAATGCTCGCGTCGCGTGAAAGCAGAGGAGTAGCCGATTAAGTTGGAAGTCCGTACCTGAAGGCCCGCTGTGGACAAGGCGGTCGCGAAATGACTTTGTGACTGGCTCCAGAGTATTGAGGAGCAGATCGAGCAGCACATTTAGCAGGATATCGGCGCCAAAAAGCTCCCGGGCGATGCAACTCTCGCACTGCAGCATGCGTAGAGCGTCTCCACAGAAGGTTTCTAGCCAATTGGCAAATGATTCCTCTTTCTCGTCCAACTCAGTCTGCATCTCGTTGCTGTAGGCGTACCAGGCACGGTGCACATGTGCTGGTCTTGCCCTGCAGAACTCCTCTCTCACTAGATGACCTCTGTCGACGCTTTCGAGTACGTCAAGACACCACCGCAGCGGTGCCACATCGCCTACCTCGTCCGCACGAAGCTTTGTGGCGAGTCGTGGCAGCACCGCCGCCTCAATCTGCGCACAAAGCCTTTCCATCGTTTGTTTGCGGTCCCAGGCACCTGGAAGATCTTTAAGGACGTCCAGACTTGACTGCATTTCACGAACGCGGTCCGCCAAGTCGTCGGCAGAGTCGCTGTCTGTTGTGTGGCCATTGAGTTTGGCACTCTCGCCCTTAAGCACACGAGATAACAGCGTTGGGTCTTCCACCACCGCAAAGCAGGCGCGCACGTTACGCCCCCATCTTGCGGCCTCCACTAACGCCTGCGAGCAGCTCTGTAATCGGCGCTTCGCCTCGTGAAGCGTAGCTAGATGAGGGGGCAGAGCTTGCCCTGAGCCCGACGCGGTGGACACGGAGCCAGAGGCGCAGGCATCTTGCACAGCATCCAGTCGTCTAGCCAGCGGTGTAGCAGCCTGTTGTATCCCCTGGAGACGCGACTGCAACGCTGGAGCTGACAGCGAAACGTGCTGCAACGACGCATGCAGCGTTTGAGCCAACGTTTGCGATCGCAGAGCCAACTGTGGCACCAGAGGTGCCAGGGCCGACGCATCGCCCGAGTGAGACCTCAGCGCCTTCTCTACCCACGCGAAGGCGTCGAAATTCGTGGACGCGGACGCCGCCGACTCGAGGAGCACATCATCCTGCATGATTAAGCAAAACTAAATATCGCGACTTTTATTTTTTGTTTATGGATATTACAAAGTGGCCCCCTTTCTTCAGACTTCCCGAGTTTCCTAACATGTAAAGCCTTTTCAGCTTACGGGTGGTGTGATGCCTCTTTCTCCCTTACGTCGTCTTCATTTTGCGCTTGGACATGGGCAGCAGCACACTCGTCTGTGCCTTGTACTATTGGTACGCCTTCGTCTCCCCCCAGCGCTCTTCGGCCTGCTTTTCTAGCAGCGGGACCCCCGACACGAAGATAAGCAAGAATGTAACGAACACGGGGCTCACACCAGCCCACACTTTCAGCACCGTGGTCGGCAGTGTGTGCACGCTCACGAAAAAAAACCCGCAGTAATTGGGGTGGCGGCTGTAATACCAGAGTCCGCTCTGAATAAACTGACCCTTCTTGCTCTCGTCACGACGGAATTGCATCTTTTGATACCACTCTGTTCCATCTCAAATCTAACACTTCTCCTTTGCTGACATATTTATTAAACTAATGGTGTGATTTAGCTAAACGAGCCCACTACGGAAAGCCCTGCCTTAGCTCTATAAAACAGTATTTTTTTTGGTAGATCATAGTCAAACAGCAACGAAGTACAGAACAAAAGAGCGTCATTCGTTTTGACGGGGTGGACGTCTGGTTTCGCAGTGGGCTTCCCAGTGTTGGAAAATTGCTGAGGTTTTCAGAAGAGATCGATTCTTACAAGATGTGAAAATAGTTCTTCAAAAGCTGCTGTCTGTGCCGCGTTTGCCTGAAAAACGCTTTTGACCAATTACATCTATGTATTTACAATCTGACAAATTTTAGATCTCACAAAAGGTGAAAATAAATAAAACAAGGTGTGTAGAAAAGAGTTCATCATAAAATAAAAGATACTAATTTTGAGTTGGTGGCCCTTCATTTTATTAAGTGTCTCCTGGCCCTTTTTGCCAAAGGGTCGCAAGGCAATGAGGTTGGAAGCACTCCGTTGCGAATGTGGTGCTTCGAAACTCGGGGGAGTTTGTATGTATCACACGCAATGACAGATTCTGGTATTTTTTGTGCTGTCAAAAAGCACTTATCTATAGTCCTACTAGAAAGATCACAGTAAGTTTTTTCAGCTTCCGCAATTAAAGCATCGATCTTGTACGTTGGTGTGCGGTATTGAGCCGACTGTAGCAAGTTAAACAGACCCAATTCGAGTACGTTCATATCGGGCGACTTAGCTGGCTGGTATTTGATAGCGATGTTGACAGCATCAACATTTATTGTGCCTGCCGTTAGAGCGATCAGACGGCAGCACATCATGCTTATCTGCACAGCTGATACGTATTATGTAGCTGGTAGCCACAAATTAAAAAATAGCAAATCTCTATTCTTAGCCTAATAATAGCCAATGATATCATTTATTTTTGTGCGGTCGCTCGTTGCGTTAGATTTGAGATGGAACAGAGTAGTAGTCGGCCGTGACCTCCAGCACGTAGCCAATGACCCAGAGGGAGATTCCAACAATGTCCAGTGTCGACATCCGCAGGTCGCGGGCGCCGTGTGTGAGCGTTAGAAGCACAGGAAGTACCGTGGTCAAAACCCAAAGGCCCTGAATGCTCCAAACCCCGAAGAACCGCAGCGGATTCGCGCGGATATCTTTAAACGCTTGTCCTCGCCGCACTCACTGATGCGCAGGTACAGGAAGGAGCCGAGACGCAAGCATTAGAGCCACACCAGTGCTATTAGCGCCGACTCACGCCAGGAGACAGAACTGCTGGCACTGTAGGCCAACAGTGACACCACAGCGTAGGTGACAGAGCCCGTGAGGTCAAAGTAGCGCTCATTCTGTTTGGGTATGGCGTAAAGCGCCGACAGCCATTGGATGCCCACGCACACAGCTGCGTACACTTGCAGCTCCGTGTAGTGAGCAACAAGCGCGGTCAGCAAGAGGGAAATTACTGACCCAGCGATGTTGTGCAGGAACCCCATGCGAGAGAATTCACTTAGTTTTTACTGTACGTACTTTCTCACAAAAAATCTTCGATGAAAGTGAACACCGATCGATGGAAGCAACACGAGGAGCTAATCTACTCAATTAGCTTCACCCCTATTTGTCGCAACGTACGTAGACTACAGGCGTGAAAGCTGGAGAAAACTTTTGCAAATTGCAGAATTACACGGAGAGGCGACTCTGTGAGCATTCGCTGATAGGGCGTTCGTTTCTAAACAATCTCAGTCGTTTTGTAAAAGCAAGTATGGCCTAGAGTGCTGGAATATGTATTGGGGACCAGGCACAATGAAGTGTTGGTACACGAGATGAAAATCAGTTGGGCCAGGTCATTGTATGAGAACGGGGTTGAATCCGTTAGTGTTGGTAGGAGCTCTGGGAGAGCAGCGCTAGCACTTAAATAATTCAGTCTTCATTTTACCTTAAAAGAGTCACAGCGGTCAGAATTGTGTTCACGGAACGGAGTTCCAACAGGGTTATGAGCCCAAAGACGAAGTCGCTGAAATACTTGAGTGAAGGAGTGCCGAAAAACTGGAACGGCAAGGATAGGCAGACGTATAAGGGGCGCTGATGAATGTCTTTAAAGAGCAAGATCTCAAAGTCATCGCGGTCGGTGAACTGACCAAGGCGATGCTTTCTACCGCGAGTGCGGAGAAGAAAGAGGAATTTGAGAAGAAGCAGTTGAAGATCATGCGCTTGATTGGTACTTCAGTACCGGCAGACGTGCTGCACCAAATACGCGACAAGGAGACCGGATCGGAAATGTGGAGTGAGCTGTGTAGTCTGTATGAAGGAAAGCAGAACGAAGCGATCAAGGCATATACGATTCGTCGCGTAGAGAGCGAGCTTTGGAACACGAAGCTTACCCCTGGAAGTGATGCTAATCTTCACCTCTGTAAGATGTTCAACCTCAAGACTGAGTTGGCCGACTTGAATCATACCGTTGCAGACACCACAATAGTGGATATGCTACTGGAGAGTTTGCCTGATCAAGTTGAGTTCGAACATTTGAAATCTTCTATCTACTATGGAGCGGATCCGAGTGTGTACTCACCTAAGAAGGTGAGGGAGCTGATTCTCGCAGCAGCAGCTCGGCAGAGAGAGTTCCGAGGAAAGCGTAGTGACAAGAAGGATAACCAGAGAGGAGGAAGTGGAAAAGCATTCGAGAGAAAAGGGAGTTCTCAGGAGGACAAAGTTGGTGGATTCAAGAGTGCCCGGAAGTGTTATTCCTGCGGCAGTGAAGACCATCTGCGGGTGAATTGTCCTGAAAAGACAAAGGTGCAGGAGAACGGTGGAAGCGCTGAGCAGAAGCGCAAGCCACGGATTAACTACACCGTGCGACAGGAGATAACTATGCCTGTGCAAATGGACCGTGAACAGGATGAGGGTGTCGTAGCAGGACTTGGGCAGTTACGTGAAGTCCATGAAGACCCTCAAGAACGCGGTGAAGCACATGAACAGGATGAATTCGTGCATGAAGATGAAGCTCGAGAAGCTGGAAATCGTGTTGAAGATGCACGTGATCATGGAGTCGTGAGTGACGGCGAAACTGTGAGTGACGAAGACCCAGTAAGTGATCCTGAGGCAGATAGTGGTGAAGCACATCTGATAGACAGCGATCAAGAAACTGGACGGCTTAATGGCGGGTGGTGGTATCTGGATACGGCTTCTAACTCGCACGTCACGGGAAATTTCGCTGAGTTTGTGTCATACACGGCGGACTCGGATAACTTGCAGAATATCCGAGGTGTTACGCCAACCATTGTCTCAAGAATTGCAGGAATGGGAACAGTAGCGTTAATGACAGAGGTAGACGGAGAACAAGTGGTAACATAAATCGATGGAGTGTTGTACATCCCTGACGCAGAGTATGGTTGTTTTCTCCGGGACTTGCCTTTGAGCAAGGTTTTGCTATTGAGTTTAGCAGTGAAACCAGACGTTTTGACATACTGAGAGATGGAATGACTGTAGCTGTTGCGACGGCGCAGGATGCTATTTGGGGATTTCAGGTAGCAGTTCCAACTCAGAGAGCAAGAGTGATCTCAGAAGCAGCAGCAGTATGCAATTACACCATCGCTCAAGGTGTTGGTTCGCTGAAGCTTTGGCATAAAAGATTATGTCATACATGCCCACAGTATCTGAAGACCATGGTGGACAAGGAGCTAGTGCACGGAATGATGCTGACACAGCGACAGCAGGAAACGTGCGATGCGTGCCACATTGGGAAGCAGAAGAAGAGATCACACCGCAAGAAGTTGGATCGGAGACTGAAGAGACCGAACCAAGTGGTCTATGCAGACCATCTGATTCCAGGCTAGAACAACTCTACTCGGTATGAAGCCGTCCTGGTGATTATGGATGGTTATTCTCGCTTTGTCACGGTGTACCTGCTGAAGAGTAAAGACAGCAAGGTGGTGAACAAGCACATGCGGGAATATGTCCTGTGGGCGGAGCGGCAGGCTGGTCGGAGCACCAGCGGAGCTACCCACAAAGTACTGCAAGTCTGGAGTGACAAAGGCAGTGAGTTCTTCAATGGCGAAATCGATGCATGGTATCGATCGAAGGGGATTGAGCACGTGAAAGTCGGACCGAAGAGTTCGCAGCGCAACCTGTGTGAGCGTACACATCAGTCATTGGAAGACATGACTCGGTCTACGATGGCACACTCGGGGTTGCCGAGGAGCCTGTGGCCGGAGGCCATG